CCCTTCCTCTAGGACACCATTGGGGGGGGGGGGGAATACATATATATATATATATATATATGTATGTATGTATGTGTGTGTGACCATCACAGAACGCACGCAAGAAATACAAACATTTCATATCGTTTAGAGTCTTTAAAGCTTGGAGGTTGGTGTTCAGAACTGAGACAACGCACACGCAAAAAGCTACACATGCGGCTCACAGGCCCAGGCCTTGTAGACACTCGGCTGCTCGCATGAAAAACAGACCTTAGCCAGGTGAGGCCGGCATGCATCCGGGAAACTTTAGACTTAGAACCATGAGTGCGATACCCTAAGCCCCGGTGCTTACAAGCGCACTAGGGTGAATGGCTCCAAGGCACGGCCAGAGAGTACATGTGGATGATGCACGCAGATCGTTTTCCAAGTTACTGCAGAAAGTACGATCGAAACCATGTTGGACGCATAGATTGCAACATCTATGTCTTCAAGTAGGTGATCTTCCCTGCATTACCTCGCCCATCAAGGATGGGCTTCCACGCCGGATTCCACGCCCCCGGCACCCAACCTCTGTTTTCAACTCTTATATTTCGACTTCGCGACATCCCAAACTTAAGCGGACTAACACACACCACACCGGTGGCACATCGCTGGCTAAAAGGCGCATCGAACCCCAACGTGTGCGCAGCGTGTCGTTCTCAAGGCGTGAGACAGCTCAAAACTCACAATGGCTAGCCGACGCTGATGCTTTGAGCACCTGTGTGCAACAGTAGATTAGACTATATAGAACGTGGCTATTCATACTGTGCTTCCCAATGCGACGTTCCCCGATGCGTTCCCGCGATGTGAGATAAGCAAGAACCCAGCACCCTGTTTCCCTACGTTAGCTTCTCTCAACTTCTTACATGTTCACCTAACGAAATGCACGATCTAGGCATGAACTTTTTCAAAACATACGCAACCCCCCCAAGCAAACTAAGTAGACGGCGCACATGGCCTTAGCAAAAACAAGTTCCCGTTGTCTCAGACTGTCTCAGCCTACAAAATAAGCCAGCACGTCGCCGTTCACGCTTCAGAACATCTGTTTATCAGTGTATCGTATATTATATTATAGGGTACTAGAAGAGATACATAATAACACACACGTATATGTATGTCTTTATGCCCCAGATGCCTAGCTCCCTTATGCAAGAGGCAGGATCTATACTAGCACATGAAGCAAACGCAGAGCCAATCGAGGACATCTTTGTTTCTGACTCTGGGGTGAGCTTCTGCAGCCCCTTGCACAGGAAAAAGCTGCGCAGGAGAAAAACAAGTCCGAGCAGGGCTTTGCGGCACGTGCAGCAGGTGCCAGAACCGCAATGGAGTGCACGCGTGATTAGAATATTCGATCGATTATTATAGTATTAAAACATCATGCCCGTCGGGCGTGGGGATCGGAACCTAGATGTCTGCAGCGACGGCTCGAAAGACATTCAGAATGGCATACATTACTTCCGGTCCCCCTTGCCAAGCTGCGTGTGCAACATCTTTCGATGGCCCGGATTGACGAGCATGAGCTTGTGTCCGCACTTTCCTGAACCGAGCAGAGTCTTGAAAGCGCTTTGCATGCAGTTGAAGACGGCCTAGTGCTGTTGCGGGATTTGGCACTCTGAGCAAAAAAACCAAACACAGCATCCATACCCCAAGGTAAACTGTTCTAAGCCAGAAATGGAAGTGCGGGCGGTCACAGCATGTTGCTGGTGCTGTTGCTAGCTATATCAGGCAGCGTCCTTTCTAGCAGAACTGATGACTCAAAAGCCTTCCACCGGATGCCCGACATGCCCACAAAGGCCCAAGGCCCTCTTTCAAATGCCGGGAGCCAGAACCTGAACCCGGGCTTCTTGCAACTCCGCATCAAACTCATCCAAAGTGCCTGCAGGACCAGGAAAGGATCAGGTCCCCCAGTAAGGTTTCGGCAGGTCCCGACATTTCGGATTTTGGACGTTTAGGGTACGTGGCACGGGTCTCTCAATCGAGACATCTGCAATCCAGCTGCTGGCATTGCTCAGTGACTGGAGCACCAGCACCAGGTCCTTCCTAAAGCCCATGAACCAAGCCAAACCCGAACAAAGCTCGCAACGCACATCTGCACACACCAGCTCACATTGCAACCTGCGTTGGAGACTTCCATCCCCAACGAAACCCACAGTCAACAACCCAAACAAGGCCAAGTACAATCTCCCAGTCCGATTCCCAATCCTCAGGATGGGATTAGGGGAGCACCGTGGGCAAGCCGACCGGGTACCCTAAAATCGTGCATTATGCACCCGGAACCCGGAACCCTGAACCCTGAACCCTGAGCCCTGAGCCCAATAAACCCGAACTATCTTGAGGCCCTGAACCCTGGGGCGCCTCTATGCCTCGGCCCACCATGCCTCCGCGCTTTAAAGAGGCAACTCGTGCGGATCCAATAATAGGGCTTAGGGCTCATAGGAAGTACAATCGTGTGTTGGGGGGGTTCGTATAGCATGATTATGTAGGGAATACTCTTCGTAGTTATTCCGACCCCTATATTGGGTTGGCCTGAAAACGACCCTCTAAACCTAACATAAAGATTGTAACGGGGCACCCCGATTTTAGTTGGGAAGCCCATGTTACTCCATTGCCCCAACGAAGCCTCCCAAAGCTACTCCATAGTGACTCCAGAAATAAAGCTTCAGCACCTTGTCATACTTGACATGTTCTTCAGTTGGGGAGATTCCTCCTTCATCAAACCCTCAGCCTCGCGCTTGAAACCCTGAACCTGTCTCCAGATTCTTGAGCCTAGGCATCCTATTAAGCTTCTGAGTTGTGCCCGTCTAGCCGACGGAAATGGGATTCAGCGATGTGGCTTCTGGGCCAAACTAAGTAGAAGGCGTGAGAACTTCATGTGTGGTATTGAAGACTGGTGAGCTCGTAACAAACAAGCCCTGAAGTCGCCGGTGACGATTGGACCAATTTGAAGTCAGAAAAAACATATGACGGGTAATCTTAGGAGGCCCAATCATGTTGAATCTCCCAGCCCTAGCCCTCAACATCACGGAGTTCGCCTTTCCAGCTTGGCTTCCGGATTCCGCGTTTCAGAGCTAAGGGTCCGAAACTCTTGCTCATGCCCTGTCAGGACTCTCAACTCAAACCCTCCGCACTGATTTCCCAGCCACCACTACGCTGTCAAGGCTCGCTCAGACCAGACGCCCTCCCGAAGAAGCCATTGGAGACGGTCGCCAGTGTTGGACCTATACGGATCAGACTGGGTTTTGGAGCTTCTGGCCTTCACCAGCGCAAGACCGCAAGATAGAAACCCACCAAAAGCAAGAGGTTAGAAAAGGATGCATTGCACCTGGGCCCGCTACATGTTTTGCAGACACCGGTTTCGGGGTTTGTTTATGGGTATGTCACATGAACCTCCAAGTGCGGTTGTCCAAGATTCCTTTTCCCTGAAACTGCGCTTTCGCTGCCCGAAGTGGCGATCCAGCTAAGATACATCAACCCCTGGTTCTGAGTAGGGAGTGAGGGAATTAGGGCCCCATGGTGCCCTGTATATACCCTTTAAGGGATTCTACAGGGTACCTCATTCCCTCATTCCCTACCGAGAACCAGCCAGATCAATGCCGCGACCCCTTCCGCCGCTCCGTTGTCCTTGATGCTTTGCGTCTAAACCCCTAAACTCCAAACCCAAAACCCAAAACGCCAGAATCTTTTCTGGACACATGTTGTCAGCACCCGAGAGAATCCGTAAACCCTTCCTACGTACTATACATCAAAACCCCAAGCCCCAAATCCAACAACAACTACACAATCCCTGTCCCGAAACCCGAACCCTACATGAACAAGCCAAACAAAACTAAACCTTATATAAGGAACAAATCGAGACCCGGTAAAGCCTAGCCAATGCTTCCTAAATTGCAAAACCCTTTGGGAGAGTGAAGCAGACGGGCGGCGAGAGCGCGTCCAGGGCCAAATCGCTTTGGTACAGCGGCTGAAAGACTTGCGCCGCAATAAAATCCTGCTTTGGAGGTAAGGATTTGTAGGGTGAAGGCAGATTGATGGGAACTTCTGCAGGCTAGGACGCAAGTCAAAAAGACAAAGGTGGCAACTGACAACCAGATCCGACCGAAGCCCACATCTCGCCTGCATTGGGCTGTACAGCCAGGAATTGACTTCCCACACTCGTCGGGGAGAGATGCCCCCCTCAGCACAAGCCAAGACGGTGAACAGTGAAATGACCCGGCAGCTCTCAGACTGAGAGCCTATAAACCCCTAAACTCCTAAACCCCTATAAACACTGAGAGCAGTCTGTCAGTCACGTCGGGACACCTACCTTGCACTGCTCCACACCCACATTCGTTCGGGGCCAAATGGCCCCTCTTTACGCGCACAGTGCGATGGTGCCTTCCATCAGCGTTCAGCCGTTCAGCGCTTGTCCTGCTGCTTTGCATCCTTCAGTGCCGAGCTGCTTTCAGCTTGGGGTAGTACTTCCTGTAGAAACGAGCGAACCTCAGCAAGTACCCATCCCTTAAAAAAAGTAGAAGACCAAGATGGTGCTTCCTGTAGAAACGCGCGAACCTCAGCAAAGTCTGAGGGACGCAGGTTTTCTGTTCAGGTCGCATGCCCAAAGCTGATCGAGGCTGCACACCCCAGGTCCACTGGCTTCACACTAAGGGCCTGGGTTTTCCGAGAACTCCTGTTTAGGGTTCAGGGTTTAGGGGGTAGGGGGTTTAGGGTTTAGGGTTGAGGGTTAGCCAACCCAGCCTTCCATTTTTCTTCCAACCCAATTCTAACGATCGCCTTCACTAAAACTCGATCTTCAAATCCCTCTGGCAAGCCCCTTGCTGGTTGGTTTGCCCCAAAGGGCTCCAAGCAATTCACCTGAAATTCCTTGAGCTTCAATGCTCGAAGAGGGCATGCAGACCCTAGGAGCATCAAGCCATGCGGCCCTCGTTATCCTCCCCCAAGTCCACTCCTGGCATACACTTAGCTTCCACTCCTGGCTCGGGCTGTCAGATGCCCAGCGACTTGCGCACCTCGATGTGCCCTTTCAGGTAGGTGCCCAAGGTCGTGTTCGGCACCCGCTCCGCATACCTCGAAGCGGCTGCGCCACCACAAGACTGCTTCTTGCAACTTGTTGGTTCCAATGCAAAGAACCCCAAGCCCTAAACCCTAAACCCTAAACCCCAAACCCTAAACCCTACACCCTAGAGTCAACTTTGCATCTCGAAAGCCCGATGCTCCCCCCAGAGAATCTTAAAAACACGCCCGGCAGCCAAAGCATCTCAGAGCTGTCGTCGTAAGAAGGCGCCGCAGCGGCAGCTCGCCTAAGGTCTAAAGATGGTCTCTACGCAGCTACAGATACGGCTTTAGGGTTTTTTGGGTTATAGAGTTTTGGGGTTAATAGGGTTTATAGGGATTATAGGGTTTATAGGGTTTATAGGGTTTATAGGAATAGGGTTTAGGGGTATAGGGCTCCCAGAGTCTGCCAAGGGTGTAAAGATTGCGTTGGGGCCCGGACCGTTCTAGCGTCCCCCATCAAGCAGGATCCTGTTTTGGGCACCCCTAGCCTGAACAAGGCGCGCTCGTTCTTCTGGCGTCATGGATTTTGGTCTTATCGTGGTAATGCGACCCACACCCTTGACTTTGAAGGTGAAGTTCATGCCTTTGGGGGGGCAGGGAGAGGCGTCCATGAATCTGAGGCACTCTAGCGGCGCCAGCATCCACGTCCGTACATCTTGCCCAACCTGCTTTGGGTCACGGGACTTTGGGGCCTAGCCTGGCTCCGGAGGATGGCACCATCTTTCTGATAAGACCGAACATGAAAACAACAGACACGCAGAAACCCAAGAGAAGGCTTTGTGGGATTATATGAGCAGGTCCCTGTCACGGCGCCTGCCGGTAGAGGTTCATGTCCCCAAAGAAGAACTTGCCCTCCAAAACCCTACCTGAGAGATCTTCACGGCCCCACGCTTATGGTATGTAGAAAGGGGGATTTGTGGCTTCTAGGTTCAGCGTGGCTGCGCGCCTAAGCCTTACGAAAAAGGCTGCGGGGTTTCCTCATTCTACAGCATGCCCAGGCACATGAAGGGGGGAGGGGGGAGGGGGGGGGGGTTGGGGGGTACGCCACTTCAAAGTTTACAACACAGGAGGAATCTGGTGACCTTGGTAAGAACTTGAAGGCAAATCTAAGTGTCACAAGGCTGGGCAAGGTCAGAGCTCTCCAAGTCGCTGGTCATCACGAAGTCGTGGGTCAGCAGAGTTTTGGTTACGGCCAGCTGAGTTGTACATGGAAAGGTCCTCCAGAGCGACTTCGGAACCAAAGTGTGTGGGGTGCGCAGGAGGGTTGGCAGTGCAGCTACTAGTACACCACACTTGCGTTCGGGGCTACCTGCGACTTCCTGCCAAGCCTGTGCACAGTGCATCACTGTACCCTGCATGCAAAGCCGCCTGATCGTAGACCTCGCAATGGGCTGGTTGAGGAGTTTAACTCTGATGTTCGCAGCTTCCATCAAGTACTTGAAGTCGGAGACCGACTTGAAAAAGGCACGTCCTTGGGTCCAGAAGCTTAGAACTTGAAGCCTACAGAACGCCACCACTTGCAAGTAGGAGAATGTCATGACTCCGCCTTGCATGCGCTGAGTACCTGCTTTGTTCTGCGACCTCAACCATCAGCCCAAGTCCCCAGGTGCTGTGGCGGCGGGGATAGTTGCAGAGTTGCTTAAGACTTAGACCTGGGTTTAGTTTCAGTATCCATGTAGCCATTACAGAGTTGTTTGATCTGAAAGTGAACTTCCCTGGTCTAGATACTGTAGTACATATACATTACTGTTGGCCAATATCTTTTTGTCAAGGCTTCACGTAGCCCAATAAGGTCTCAGGCTGCCGGCTGTCTCCCTTCTTGGATACTTCTAGGGTCGACCCCGCCTCCATCCCCTCCCCCACTTTTGGGAAACCCCTAAACCCTAAACCCTAGACCCTAAACCCTAAACCCGGGGAAAGGGGGGAGGGGAAGGGTTCACATTAAGGATGGGACAGCGTTACACCCAACCTGACCTGTGTAGAGTCTCGCTTTGCGTAGCTCCGCCGGCCCGGGCAGTCAGCAAGGTAAATCAGGAATTCCTGAGTTTAGGAAGCAGCGCAGAGTTTTTTCGGCACAAAGGGCTCGGTGCTGCTACCTACCAGGGGCACTCAAAACGAAGCCTGGCTTTGGCTTGGCTGACTTCGGGACCTGATGTATCAACCATCACGAAGCGAGCTAAGTCAAACTCGAAGGTTCTTCGACAAGTTGAAAAACAAACTGCAGCTGAGCATCCATCCTGCTGTACATGGACATCTCCCGTCCTCAGGCGTGATGGTGCAGACGGTGTGCTTGATCATAGACGGGGCAGCCGTACAAGGTTCTTCGCGTGGTGCAGCTTACAGCGACCGCGAGTCAGCTCTTAAGCCTTTTCTGGGTGTTGCGCGTGAAGAGGCCACGGAGCTTGTAACACCAGTGAGAGAGACATGCCAGTCAGGATTCCTGACAAGACTTTCTTGCGTCCCAACCCCCCTGTCAGGAGACTTTCTTGCCTCTCAACCCCCAAGCTATGAGCGCTCAAGACACAGCCCCAACATGCTCATGCGAAAGCTTGGCCAGGAGGCGGAAAGGAACATTTGCCTAAACCTTACACTGCTAAACGCAGATCAGCACGGCGTTAAAAACCCCCATCGAAAGCTTGTCCCAGCAGCCAAGCTTACTTAATTTGAGGCTCGATCTTGGAGGTTCGTTGTTGTTGCCCCAGCATGCTCCAGACACATGGAAGTCTACCATAAGAGTCTGAGACACTGAGGCTTCACCAAACCTAGTGCTGCTGTGGCTCTTCCTGCCTCGCCAGTCACCACGAGCACATATGGCGGGAAGCTTGCCTGTACAGGCTTGACGGATGTCAGGCGGAAAAATCGCTGTTCTGACTCGAGGTTTAGGGCGCAGCTTGTCTGCGAAAACATGTGGGAACCCTAAAGGTCACGTACACGACTACACATGCACTATACAGATATCTGCCACGTGAGAGTCTGTCCCCAGGCTCCATGGGTCAAAGACTAAAGAAAGCTGAGGGCTTCTCAACGTCTCGCAGTGTGATCCCGAATACCCTGAAACCTTGAAACCTTAGACCTTGTGATGGCACTTACGATGTAGAGTTGCGCCTATAAGCTGTATATCGTGTGAGGGGCAATAAGAGAATGGGCCTGTTCGTGGACTTATGCAAGTTCGAGCTGGCGTGACGGCTTTGACAAACCGTGGCCTTGGTATTGTTTCCTTGCTGGCTGAGGTTTCTGGCGAGGGGCCTGGGGGGGGGGGGGGGGGGGGGGACTAGAAGTCTGCCTTTGGGCTTTAAGATCCTTAAGAAGGGGGTTTCTACTTTCTGCCACTCTGTCCGCGCCTCCTCAGTGGCCAAATCCATCCAGATCTTTCTCGAGGTGTTGATCCTGGCTAACATCTGGATGAGCCGCTGGATGAGCTTTCCTTGTGGAAGATATATTGTATACATATAATCAACTACATACATATATATATATACATGGTTAACCTTGGGGGTTTGAGGAGAGATTCGAGTACCCAAAGATGTTTCCTTGCACCCCGGCCTCAAGGAACTCCGCCGGGAAAGGCAGCGCGCAAGTTTCTTCTTAAACGCATGCGCCAAAGGAAGCATGCGCCAAGCAAAAGTGGTTAACGGCATATAACTTCTAACTTATTATTATAACCTACAGTAGCCAGCACCTATAAGCACTGAAAGAAGCGCTGCTCTGCCTGTAGTCGGGCACTTAATGGCATGAACTGAGCTCCTAGAACCCACCTCGGGAGCTCTCCAGACATGTGATGGTCCAAGGTGTCAGTTCGTGACATGTGGAGGCGAAGTCTACGAAGGAAGGAATTGCAAACGACACCGTGCTGCCCAGCGTCAGGGTGTCTGAGAACACCCGCGCAGCATGCAGGGCATCTGCAGCTGTCTTCCTCCAGTGATGGCACGTCTGTTCGGGATCACCTAGTGCATTATCCCATGCAGAGCCAGGATGAATAAACACGTGCTGTAGGGAACATGGCATGGCTCAGCGGCTGTAGCGATTTTAAGCTCAAGCCTTCGCTTTGCTGTTGGGAGAGGTGTACGAGCGGCTGAAGGAAAGCCTAGAGCTCGAACAAAGCTAACCCTGTAAACCCTATGTATTAAACCCTCCCAATTAAAAACCTATAAAAGCCCTACACAAACCCGATGAAACCCTACGCAAAAACCTACTCGAAACCCATAAAAACCCTGCTTAAAGCCTACACAAACCCTGCCGTACACCCCATATGATGAACCCTCATTGCTTTCACCGCGGAAGCTCCGGATGACTCTGGGATGCCTCAACCCCACTTGGGCACCACATGAACCCTGAAATTCGGATCGTATACCCTAGATTTAGGGTTCAGAGTTTAGGGCTTTAGGGGTTTAGGGGTTTCAGGTTTAGGGTTTAGGGATACCTGCTACAAGTATCTGGACCCAAAACCTGGTTGGGGTTTGCATTTAGTCGCCAGGGCTTGTTTTGCTGCCGCCGCCCACCCAGCCACTCATGGAGTGTAGGGACCAATCAAGTCAGCGATCAGGGGCATTTTTTATGCTGGGCAGCGGGTGCCAGCTTTGCCAAGAGAGCGCGCTCCTTCTCCTCCGTGAAGGGCCACTTGGCCGCACCAGCAGGGTTTTGAAGAACGTAGATGCGGGTGCCATGAGGCACGTCGTAGTACCGCCGCGATGCATCAGCGCCTGAGTGCTGAAAGAACTGCACGCCAGAGATGTACTCGTGCTCTCTCCCACGGGCCAGGACAAAGCTTCCTCCATGCCGGCAGTGTCGGAAGGGTTTGAAGTCCTCACCGCTCATCAGCCCCAGCGCAGTGCATGCGTCACCCCAATCCGGAACGAATACAACGAAGCTTAGGGGCTGCGCACCGGAGCCACGCAGGAGGGTCAAGAGCTTCTTGGCCATTAAGTCCATCACCTCCTCGGTGTAGGGGGGGCCCACTTCATAGGAACCCTCTGGCAGCTCTGCAACTTCGAAGAATGAGCCTCGTGAACCAAAGGCAGAGTCGACATCAGGGAAAGCCGAGTAAAACTCGGCGAAGTAGCAATTCAGGGGTGAGGCAAAGAGCTCGCAGGACACGCCCATCTCCTGGCGCAACCACGCGAAGACCGACTCGGGGGCTGCGGCATGCATGTTACCACCTTGGCCTTCTTTTGAGGGGTCAAGGCCGATGAAGGTGACGTAGCGGCGCAGCATGCAGTAGAGCCTTTGCCTGAACATGGGCTCCCAGTCCTTATTGGTGTCGGCTGGGCCGTTGTGAACCTCGTACAAGCTTCGTAGCTTCCTTGGTAGCCCAGTAACAATATTTTTCTGAGGGCACCCTTTTTTGGGGTTGGATATTCTTAATAGCCAAGGGGGCAGAAAGGTTAAACTTTGTTTTTCCTACTCAACAAGGAAACCCAAAAAGTTTAAAGTTCAACTATTGGCTAAGTAAGTATTTCATGAGGGAACCTTGAACCCCCCCAAAAAGGGGGAAAAGGGCACCACCAGGCTACCAAGCTTCTGGAGGTGCATCCAGGAGATGGGTATGGCATCCTGGCCAAAGCGAAGGATTGCAAAGCGACGGGCGCCTTCACTCGCTTCTTCCAAAGCCACTTCAGCATCACCAGCTGCCTGGAAAGCCATGACCTGCTCTGCAACACACTCGGCCTCGTCAGACACCCTCTTAAGGATCTCCACTGCCTTGTCCTCGACGGCAACGCGAAAGCGCACGGATAACCCCACCTCCCCTGCAGTCTCCGTGACGAGCCCATCCAGCTTGCGCCGGAAGAGGCACTCCTCAGCAGACCTGCGACCCCCTTTCCAGCTCCCGTCATGCTCTTTCAGCCACTCGCCCAGCGCCTTCACTTCCCGGGAGAGCGCAGAATCCACAGGCTCATGCAACTTCATCAGCCACTCTCTGGCTCGGCCCAAATACCTGACGAGTTGCTCTTCCGCCAACTTCCCCGTGACTCGGGAATGGCATCGCATGGGCACCTCGGCCAACAACTCTCGCCGCAGGACGTTGGAGGATTCCGCCAGTCGAGGATATGGAAGCAGCGGATCCCTGGAACCTCGTGTGGCCTGAGCACTTCGGGGTTGTGCCAGCTGTTCCAACAGCCATCGGTCGATGGAATCGGAGGGCGGCTTCTCCAGCCCAAGCACCTCGGCACACACCCCCGCGTAAAACACCCGAAACTGCTCGAAGAGCTCAGCACGACGCAGCTCTCGGCTGGAAGATGCCGGCGGCGCAGACGCTTTTACTGATGTCGGGCCCGAAAAATCCCACAAAGCCACACCATTGCGCCTCGGAACTTCCTGGTTGCTCTTCCATTCGATTGGCGTGATATCAGCAGCCCGCTGTCGCTTTCCCCGGCCCGGCACTGCCATGCCTTTACTGCACGGTCCTCTGCTACTTGCTCTTGCTTGTGGATAATAAGCCCATGGTGGGAGATCTTTTTCGGATCTATGGCCTGCGCATTGTTAATACAGGGATAGGCATTCATAACCCATCTTGCTTCTTGAGCCAGAATGGTTTAGACGCAAAACCTGGGTCCAGGGTCGTTGCAGAGTAGTTGTTGGGGTCTGAGTCTAGAAGTCTCTACTACAGGGCTACTGGAACTTCTTCCAAAGTGCCTCACCGCGAGCTCCGCCACGTAAATCTCCCTCGCCCGCCGAACCTATGCGAGGGAGGAGGAAGGGCTTAGGGCACCACCCTTAACGACTTCAGGGACCCGATGTAGTCCGCAAGGTCCCTAGCAAAGCGTCAACAATCCTGAGAAGCAGCTGAGAAGTTTGCAAGGAGAGCCAGCCTCCTGCGATTCCACCGAAACTCTTAGCTCAGGGTATGGTTTTTTGAGGGTTTCGAGTCTCCGGGTGCCTTGCTCGATTTGGGCAGTCCGGCACTAAGGGTTCTTAGTCTTCGCAATTCGAAGTTATTACAGGCTGTGATTTAGGGTCCAGGGCTCTGAAACTTTGAGGCCTAGTATAGGAATCCCGAAGCCGGCACTTCGCAAGCCGTCGAGTTTTCAGTGAGCCTGCAGTTCCCCTAAGCAACAGGCTGAGAATAAAAATTCCTAAACCCAAAACCCTAAACCCCAAAACAACACATCTTTGGAACTGTGGTCTTCGACGTGCAGAACGTCATGCAGGCGAGGCACAATGTTTGCTGGCAGTAACGAGGATTCCTGCGACGCCATGGTCAGGCCGATCCTGGGCAAGGAGACAAGGAGAAGCATCCCTAAACCCTCCAACCCTAAACCCTACAGTATGTGTAGAACCCCGTCGAGGCAATTTGCGAAATTTTATCAGCTATCCGTCTAAAACAAGACAAGGTTGGCCTTCGGGAGGCCTAAGGACACGCTATCAGCAAACCAAGAACGATCACATACCATCTTTGGTATTCATATATGCTTCTATCACTGTTACTACTACATTGCTATATTTCTGCATTCTCCTATTTTGTTAACTACTACTATATTGCTATACATATAAGGCATATATTCTCATATAATAAAGCCCAAGAAAGACGACACCTCACTTGCCGGGCGGACTGCGGCCAGGCCATGAGCTGAGAAAAGCCAAGCGGCACTGTAATCAGCACCATCGATATCAGCACCTTAGAGTTTAGGGTTTGGGGTTTAGGGTTTGGGGCTTAGGGTTTGGGGTTCAAGGTTTAGGGTGCCAAACAAACAACATCAGCTGGGATGTTCCCCCTTAGTACTAACAGCTCCTTAATAGGGATTATTGTACGGGGGGTACTATACGGCTTCAGGGGGTTTCTGCAAGAGGGGTAGGCCAGCTCACGCCCCCAACTCAAAAACAACCTTGAACTCTATGCAGCTTGCTGTGCCTTTTTTCAGTTTTCCTCTTCAGCACTTGGACAGAAGGCTGGGGAGCTTGTTTTCGAAACCCCTAAACCCTAAACCCTAAACCCTAAACACTAAACCCTAAACCCTAAACCCTGGATGTTTCTGGGTTTTACCGGAAGGATGAAGCCTGGGAGCCAGTAAGGTGGTCAACTTATGTTTGCTCAGAAACTACTACACTTGCTTAAAAGACCCCCGAAAACATATAAACATACTCTTCCTTCTCAAGGGTAATACAGGGATGTCTATTTTTTTCCATTCTTTTGGGGTTTAAGAACCCTGAACAAACTTAAAAAAACACTCTTCCTTCTTAAGGGTAGTATTGGGATAACTATGTTTTTTTTATTCTTTTGGGGTTCTTAAGCAAGTAGTAGTAGTAGTAGTAGTAGTAGTAGTAGTAGTAGTAGTAGTAGTAGTAGTAGTAGTAGTAGTAGTAGTAGTAGTAGTAGTAGTAGTAGTAGTAGTAAACAATGCTTACAGGCTAATCGCTCGACAACGAAGATTTCCAAGGCCCGCGCTGTTTGGAACTGAGGCTCCGCAGATCCGGATTTGAGGGATACCACACACAATTCAGTTTGGGGTTTAGGGTTTAGAGTTTAGGGTTTAGGGTTGATTGAACCCCCCACCCCCAACTGCCGTCTTTGGACTCTTTTCCCGCTCCCAAGATGCAAGTGTCAAAGTTAAACGACTATTTGGTTAAGAACCCCCAAAAACACAAATCAGTAGTTATTACCCTTAAAAGGAAGAAACATTTAACCCTAAACCCTAAACCCTTTTTACCCTAAACCCGAAACCCTGGGTTCTTAAAGCAAATAGTAGTAAATACTCAAAGTGCATCTTGGGCAGGCACCCTCTCAGACTTGGAGTGGGTGGGATGGGCCCATGGGCCATAGCCCTGGAACCAGAATAAGATGGGGGCCTTTTAGGGTTTAGGGTTTAGGGTTTTAGGGTTTTAGGGGTTTAGGGGTTAGGGTTTTTGGGGTTTAGGGGTTTAGGGCTTCTTAGAGCATATATCAAGGGGCCACAAGGGGAAGATCCCTCTTGCATCCAGGCCTCTTCGAACACTGCCAAGTAAGAGCATGGCATAGACACAAACCAAAGGGCATATCCCTGAAACACTAAGCCCTAAACCCTAAACCCTAAACCCTGTAATACCCTAAGCCCTAAGCCCTAAGCCCTAATTAAGCCCTAAGCCCTAAGCCCTAAACCCTAAACCCTGTATTACCCTAAGCCCTAAACCCTAAATCCTTTCTTTCCCTTGAAGCCCGACGTAAAGCTGCGAGGCGCGCAGGCGGTCTTCGTCGCGATTCGGAGCCAGAGTCGCCTCCGCAGCTCCATGTAGGAGGAGGAGCCTCTGAGGACTTGGGTTTAGGGTTTAGGGTTTAGGGTTTAGGGTTTAGGGTTTAGGGTTTAGGGTTTAGGGTTTAGGGTTTAGCGTTTAGCGTTTAGGGTCTCACGCTCGCATGCGGCGGGCAGTTTCAGGGTTCCAGGACAAGATAGGGTTTCTGGCATGGGCTTGTCAGGAGCTGTGGGGATTAAGGATGTGGAGCTAGACCCATAAGGGCCCGAAGCCTAAACCACCGCAACCAAACCCCACAAGCCCTGAACCCGACCCCTGCCCCCGCGCAAACCCTACACCTCGTAAAACTCCATCCACGCTACTCAGAGCTCCTGAAAACAAATGCCCACATTCTACACAATGTGCCTACACTTGAAATTGCAGGGAGACAGTTGTTGGCTTTTGTATATAGGGTATAGTTAGCTACCTTCTTCAAGGGTACGAAAGGATCACTCCCTGCCTCATCCCTCAGGCCCTCCCAAACCCATTATAAGGGGCCTATGGGCTTGTAGGTTGGACTGTTCCCCCTTATACTAGCAGTCCTTAAGGGGGGGGGGGGGGGGGGGGGTACCTTAATCCCTACTAAGGACTGCTAGTATAAGGGTATAGGGCTCCGAGTTCGCCACTGAAGAGGCTCCGATGTGAAGCATCTTCCAGTTCGAAGGCATTCATCGCCACATGCAGGTGGCGCAGGGTTTAGGGTTTAGGGCTTAGGGCTTAGGGTTTAGGGCTTTTTTCTGTCGCCCGCAGGGTTTAGGCATTAGGGTTTAGGGTTTAGGGTTTGGGGCTTGGGGCCGGGTGGTCATGGTGTTGGGGTGTTTTGGGGGGTGTGGAGGTTTTGAGGGTTGAGAGTTCAGGCTTCAAATTGAGGATCCACGCTTTGGGCTTTAGGGTCTTTAGGGTTGGGAGTGTAGGTGGGTTTGAGCTCTAACCCTGCAAAGGCCGCTCCATCTGGCTGTTGTCAGCTGGGGTCGTAAAGGCACGGCATGGAAACAAGCCCCGAACCTGTTTTGGACAGGGGGCTCTGACTAAATGACTCCGAGCCGACGCGGCGGCGGGAGCACACCATAGCACACCCCCCCTCACCCCTGCTAGCATCTTCTGCACGCATGGCAAGGGAAGAAGCTGTTGCAGCAAGGTGCGCAAAAATGCCCCCCACTATTCGGGCACACGAGGCTGACGACGCTGCGCGTCTTCTGTGTCGTGCGCGTTGAGTTGGAGTTAGATTTTAAGCGCTTCGAAGGGCGCGGCGTGAACCGCCTGCCCTGCCTCTTGAACATTTCCTGACTTCCTCATCACATGATGCTCAGAAGCACTGCCTTCAAACGGGGGGCCAATGATTCCTGAGTTCTAAGGCATGAGCTCCCACTGGGCGGCGGCCTTCGTCGCGACCACAAGGGCGTTGTACCTTTGTCCAATTGGCTTCCCAAAGGGGGTTTTGATTGACATTCTTCTCCCTTCGCCTCTCCCCCTTCCGCTCTTTTTGTCTTTTCGTTGTTGCTCTCTCTCTCTCTCTCTCTCTCTCTCTCTCCATCTCTGTTTCTCCCCCTCCCCTCGCGATCTCGCTCCCACTCCCGTTCCCGCTCCTCTCTCTCGCAATCCCTCCCCCTGCAGTCTCGCCAGTCTGTGCGAACATGAACATCAGTTCACACACACCTGAGCCGTATACCTATTTCTATGTATGCATATCATGCAATTGCGCTGTGCCTGTTCTTCAACGGAATAGTCACATGTGCTCGAGCGTTGCTAGACTGCTTCGAGAACCTCGTCCCTCTGAAGAAGGCCTGCGGCACCTAAACAGTCTCTGCTAGTTAGGTGCCGTGGCTTCGGGCGATGAAACGAGTGGTATGCCGCATTCTTCTGATTCTAGAACTGACACGTGACGTCACACATAGGCCTATCCTATGGGACGCTCCGGGCCACAGCGGGTGTGTGTTCTCCTTCACGTTGCAGCGCCGATTCGGGTCCATCATGTTTGGATTGGACGTTCATCATCGCGGCATGGTAACAAGCGCAACCGAAACCCAGCGCCTGTCTTTCTTGCAATCTGATCCGCAAACGCCCTCCCACAGCAGATGCGTCGCGCCTCTGATCACACATAAGACGTTTCATTTTGCCTGCAGAGGAAATATGCTGGAGATCAGAATGTTTTGTGGGTCTCACACCTTGCTACATGTATTCGGTCTCGTCGGGTTCACTGCTACTTTCAGCACAACCGCGGCGGATGAGCACAGTTTTCTTCAGGATGAAGCTATAAACTCCATGTATTTCCTCCGGCTCCAGCGCCTGCCTCACTGAAACCTTCATGTGTCAGTCCCACCATACCAGGCTGCGACAGCCCAGCTTTTGGGGAGGGGCCCAGCTTTTGGGGAGGGGCTGTAGCTTAAGGATAATGTGGATCTGGGAGTTGATGAGTCTAGATTTGCTAGCATTGGTCCAGCTGTGCACGCCATGAGACCTGCAAGGGTTTGTTTTGAGGAGAATGCACACTGTGCCAAGATGACTTTGTTTGTCATTCCAATCCTCTGTCCTGATAGAGATGGTGAGGATGTTCATCGTCGCGCGTCTGTGGCATCGGAAGTACGTAAAACGAAAGGGGGGGGGGGAGGGGGAGGGGGGGTGTTTTGCTGCTGCGCCGGGACAAAGAACAACGACCGCAGTTACAAGGCAGCAGTGCTGAGACGGTCATTAAGTTATGCCAGGCTAGCAGCCAACACGACAGGGGCGTCACGGGCTCATGAATGCTACATCTACTATTGCTTGAGTGCACGACTGCGCTAGGCCATGGTGGTGGGAAAAGCCCAGGACACGTTGGTCCCGCTACCTTGCGTGGCACTCACACAATGAAGGCAATCGGCTAAACCGCGGTGCTTGGACGTTGGTCCCACTACCCTACAAGCCACTTAGACAAGAAAACAACCGGGTAAACCACGGTGCTTGCCTGCCGGATCTATATGGATGTAGACATTGTTAGGGTGAGCTAGCCTTTTCCTACTTGCTTCTTTTGTGCACACAACTGCTGCAGCAGGCACCATCTGCACATCGCAGCCCAATGAGGTAGGTCCAAGGACTTTAAACGTGATGCATACACAGTCCAGGATGCCATTTACTCCTGCCCGAAGGACCTCAAACCTCCAAAGCCCTAACTCTGAAGCCCGAAGTCACCACAGTCATCCGACAACCGCCGGCCTATGCCATAAGAAAAGATCGGAAGCCACAGCTCCAGAGCCCTACAACAATATGTAAAATATTATATCAATTAATTGATGGATTTATTTATATATTAACGTATTTGGGCATGTAGTACTACAGAGCAAAACTAGATTATAGTATAATAGTTTACTAAAAAAGGAATCTCAGTCTCCGAGTGAGGGAGAAGTGCACACCTTGTAGGGTCCAAAGGTTTGGAGTTCCTTGGGGGAATGACGACTTGAGACCGGACAGGAAGCCACGGTCCAGGGTTTAGGGTTTAGGGTTCAGGGTTTTGGATTGAGCGGTTAGGTCCCAGCAGGCTACTCTTGCTGACGGTTGATGTTCAGTCCCTGCTGAATATGGAAAGGCCAAGACGCGTATGAGCTGAGGTGATGATAATCCAAAAACCCAAACACATACAAACACTAGCACCACTCGCAGTAACACTGAGAATAGCAAAATCATGATACTGATGTGGGGGAGTTTAGCAAAAAGTTTAGCAGGGCTCGCAGCCCCAAACACGGGCAGCATCCCAATTGAGCTGGAAGCCTCCGCTGCCGAAATTCGCGTGAAACTTCTTCGGATCAATCATGCCCGCGCAGAGACCCCAGGAATTGCATGCTCCTTTCCACAAGGACCGTGGGGGATCCTTGCAATCAGAGAGGAGGTGGGCGTCAGTCAAATGTCTGGATACGCTTTTTTGCCCTCATGCATCTAGAGGGTTTAGGGTTTAGGGCATAATCAACTGGAGTTGTGTGCTCCCAACCCCTACAAGTTAGTAGGCTGTTGCCTTAAACCTCCGTGTTCAAGGTTTGACATTAACCCTCCAAAATTCGCAAGTGATTGGGGATCCATGTACTCCTACAGGACTTCAGGGTTTCGGCCTTTTCTCCTGCACCCTGCAGCCTCGGAAATTCGAACTCTCTGACATCGGCGGCTATAGTCTACTATGTCTGTTATAGTGCCCAACAGCTTGCCTCCTCAGCACCTAAGTGGAGCTCCTGGGCATCAATACTGGGCGTGATTCCCCTTGCAGTGCCACACGTGAGTGTTTCGAGCTAAGTCACCAAAAGCCCTAAACCCTAAGCCATGAGCCCTGTTCGTGTCGCACCGCCGTTGACAAGCAAAAAGTCCTCCGCTGTGGCTGGGAACCAGAAGTCAGGGACAGGAGACGGTTCAGGGCCGAGGAAGTTCTAGGGTGAAGAGTTTACGGATGGGGCAGCCCTGCCGTGACACGTGGCATGGCATACCGGTGCTTCACGTTAGTGTGCTTGGCACAGAGTGGCTCGCCCCATCTCATCGTGGATGTGAGGAGCGTAGAACCCCCCTATGTCAAGCGTAACAATAGCGATTGGTAACCGAAGCAAGTTGTGAGGGCAATAGGATTCTCTTAGTGGTGCTAAAGGCTAGTCGCGGCAATGCTCATGCCTTCACCTGCCGGGAGATGAAGCAAAACAAACGTGCAAGAACTTCAGGCGCACGTAAAATGTAGCCATGCTACTCTGTGTGCACCATAAAGCGGATACGCATGTTGTGTGTTGGGGACGGATGGTTCGGCCTACCCGCTTACCGATTTAAGTTGTCCCTGCTGAGCCGCAGCAGAGGCTTCGAAAGAGGCGCTCTCAGCCACTGCCCTGCTCGGCTTACCCGCTGCCTGGCCACAGTCGCAGGTGGCATCCAGGTCGAACCCTAAACCCTAAACCCTTTTTTTGCAACCAGGACCCTAAACCCTAAAACCTAAATCGCTGAACCCTCAGCCTCCCTGAACTTCTTTCAACCCCTGCGATCATAGGATTTGTAGGAACTCACTTGACTCACTCCCTCAACCCGACACGGCGCTACATGCCTTAAATTGCGTTTGGTCGTATCTGGGGACCCCATCTGAGGACCCCGCCGTGCCCTCCAGCAAAAAGATCAGCGACCAGGAATGAGTTCCAGCACCTGACATCTCAAAATGAGTCGAGGAGAGGGAGCTCAGAGGTGATGGCTCGGCAAAAAACTTAGGGTTTGGTTTGCCTGGAGGTTCATGGTGAGTTGTAAGGGTTATAAAATAATGGACCTTAAGTGAATTTCAAGGCAGTAAACCTATACTTCTTAGGGCCTCAGAATGATACCCTTGAACGCATCCCGTGCCCTCTCTGATTGCGGCTCATCTTGGCTTCCGGGTAGATATGCCGCGTGCATTAGAGGCCCCCTTCTTGGCTCGAAGGGCCGAGCGCTCTCTCGTGTTCTCTCCGGTCCAATTTTCTTTTCTTTTATACATGAATGTTGATTCGCCTGTTCGTTATTCCTTGTTTACATTGCTTTCCCTTTCGATGCTTGCGTATTACTTTGTGTTCATTTCTGTTGCTCTTTCGTCCTTTCTTTCTTTCTTTCTTTCTTTCTTTATTGCGCGCGCTCTCTGTCTGTCATTCTGTGGAGCATGTTGCTCGTGTGTGTGTGCTTCCTGCTCTTCCAAGGACGGTAGGTGCAACGCTAAACTAAAACTCAAAGCCCGAGCTGTGGAAGCAAGAGGGAGAGTTGACTTCCTCATGGAGCTTAATTACACTGCTGGGTAGGAACGTCGGCAGACGTAGGGCCTGAGCTATCTGAGCTCACAAGCCTGAGCCCTTATGATCCCGAAAACGCACAGTAAACCCCAGACTATACCCATAGCCCCCCCCCCCCCCCCAAAACCCCCTCCAAACGAAACAGGGCACGCTGATAGACACGACGACCTGGGACTGGGAGTCGTCCGAGTCCTCAAACGGCTTCATGTAGTCGCCTGTGACGCTTGAGCTTTGCGGTGGAGGTTAATTAAGGTTGTAGTTGTTGCATGTTGTTGCTGTTGCTTCGTCTTCGTGGTTATGGGGAGGAGGGATGTGCTTGGGCGACAGGGTTGCATCTCAAGCCTTGCGCCCCAAGCTCCCACCCCACCCCACCCCCATCTCTCCCCTCCCAGCCCCCTCATTGTCACGCTTAACTTCCCTGCCACCCAGCGGCCGAGGTAGCGCCTGCCGAGGCAAACCTCTCGCAGAGGCTCGGTGTTTCGCCATGGGCTTGGGGGTTTACTGGGCCTGGGGTTAGGGCTTTCGCGGAAGGCCCCAGGTATTCATATTTGGTGGGTCCTTACGAGGCACAACAGGGACAAGCGGGTGATCATTTCGGGTCCAAGAACTCCACTGTCAAGGTTCCGACCCCTCCGCCGAATATCTCCCACCAAAATAACGATGAGGACGTTGTGCGGGTAGGACTTCACAGGGACTTGTATGTATGTATGTATGTATGTATGTATGTATGTATGTATGTATGTATGTATGTATGTATGTATGTATGTATATGTGTATATACAAACCCTAAACCATAAATTTAAACCCGAAACCCTAAACCCTAGAAACCCTCTAAGCCATAACCTCTTAACTCCTAAGCCTAAAGAAGTGGAGAGGGGGCGGGGAGCACTTATAGGGGGGGGTCTTGGCAAACCAAACTCCGGGGGGCCTTCGGCCCGGTCGAACGGCCGTTGAGCGCAAACTCAAACCTTGGGAGGGTTCAGGGTTTATAGGGTTTAAGGCTTAGAGGGTTTAGGGTTTTGGGGCTTCTGGGGATTTGGGGTTAAATTACAGGGATATATAGGGTTTAGGGGGGGGTGAGGGTTTGCCTCGTTCGGCAACCTTGGTTCAGTCGCCCGTGGGCCCCATCGTAAACACGAAAAAGACCACATAACCCCCTAAACCCTAGAAACCCTAAATCCTAAACCCTAAACCACCTCCTCCGAGCTGCTTGATGCCCGGGCAGTCGGGGCTTCTGGACAGAGCCAGAGAGCAGTGCCCCGGCTCAGCCTCTCCTTTGGGGAGCCAGTTTAGGGTTTAGGGTTGAGGGTTCGGGCTTAGGGTTTAGATATTCGGGTTTTGGGTTTTCAGCTTGCAGCTTACAGCTACGGACCGCTGGGCATGAGCGTATGTGACAGAGAGAGAGAGAGAGAGACAGCGATGGCCACGGCGACAGAGACACATATAGACAGCAAGAGAGGCGAGAGGACAGAGAGGACGGAGACAAAGTAACAGAGGGACCGACTGAAAGCGATACAGAAAGGACAGAGAGAACAAAGACAGAGGGGTAGAGGGGGGGTTGAGGAGGGAGGAAGAGGAGAGAAATCAGAGATCAAGGATGAGAGAGCGAGAACGATCAGAGAAGAGGGAGTGTCCATGCAGTAGGAGTTCGATGTCTTCAAGGTTTCTGCAGAGCCTTGGGGTTGGGGTGCCACGGCACTGCGCTTTAGGTGTGGAATAGAACGCTGCCTCCTTTCTTCGACACGAGAGGTGCCCGGTTCCATGCACTCCTGTCACTCGGCACCGACTACAAGGCCGGCTTAGGAGGCTCTTATAACTGATAACCAGTATAATTCAGCTTCTTTGTTTCTTTGCGTTGGGCTCGCAGCAAGAAACCCTTTTTTAAACCCTAAACCCTAAACCGTGGCCCTGGGGTTTCGGGCTTCCAACATGGCAGCTAGCATGATCCAAGCCGCGGCTGCCATTGGGATAAAAGGACAGCTGCATGTGCGCATCCTGCGCGCAGTCATGCGGCGGGAGAGTTCTGTGTGCGCTCAGGTGAAGTGGAGGTCTGTTCATTTGGAATGCTAACTTGGGAAGCTGAAGGTTTGCTTTTTTGCCCGCCTTAATATGTAGGGTTTCAAAGGGGGGCTATCACGCACTGATATTCCATCTACGTGGGTTGCCAGTGCAAGCATACACTGTACACAACGCATCTGCATAGCCTACAGCGTTGCGTCATGTTAAACTTCACTGCATACACAAGGCTACCATTGTGTGCAGCCCTACCTGCGTCCTAGCGAGTCAGAAACATTCGAGGCACAGCATGCTAGGATGCTGAACTGCTCGAAACGAGCGTGCCGTCATTTACACAAGTTATTCCGGGCCCACACATGATTCGCCAGGCAGCGCCCTGCCTGGATGCTGAAGGTGGGTGACATGATGCAAGAGTCCTCCCGGCAGAAGCTGCGCATCAGTGCGTCGCATCAGTGCCCAACAAAAACACCGACTGTAGCTGAAGCATTGGAGCACGCCCGGTGGTACCCCATCATCAAACCCCTAAACCCTTTTGCAGCCAACCCTCTAAACCCTAAACCCCTAAAGCCTCAACCCCTAGAGGCCCCATACCCCTACACGAGCTCAAAGCTCCCAAGCCTTACCCAGTTTCCTAAACCCTAAACCCTAAACCCTAAACCCTAAACCCTAAACCCTAAACCCTAAACCCTAAACCCTAAACCCTAAACCCTAAACTAATTAAGGGTAGTTACGACGAAACTGCAGGTAAGATAGAGTCCCAGGTATACCTTACACGGGCTCCAAGGTCCCAAGAGCCTTCGGGAACTTGCTGAGCTCGCCCCAGGGGTCTGCCACGGTCCACTTGAAGCCTTAGTTGCTGAGATCAGAAGCCCCCCCAAAAGTGTACACTTTCGAAGAAGTCTATAGGGGACGAAAGTATCCCAAAAAGTGTAAAGTGTACACTTTCAGTTCTATAGGGGGTTATCGTATCCCAAAAAATGTAAAGTGTACTCACTCAGCTACTAAGAAGCAGCTGCCCTCCACGGCGGCTCCGGCGCCTCGGGCTGGTTTGATGTAGGGTTTATGGGGTTTTGGGGCATACCAGTTTAGGGTTTAGGGTGTTTGGAGGGGGGGGGTTAGGGTCTAGGGATTTTATAGGGTTTGGGGTTTAGGGTACCGCCCACAGGGTTAAATTCAGAGCCTGGCGCAGTCAAAGCCTCGACCTTTTCATCGATTGCCCAGCCACAGCAGACGTTTTGCATCAGCAGTGTGAACCTATGCACATACACACAATCTCTTCCTTCCTTCCTGCACACTTAACCCCCCCCAAAAAAAAAACCTAAACCCTAAACCGATTTTGGGTTCCTGTCCGGGCAGCTCTCTTCAACCAGCTGCAGGTCGATCGCCGGCGGAACCACGAAATCCACGTCCGCTGGGGGCCCCAGATCAGGGAGGTAGGTGGCCTGAAAGGTTGATGGGTTTAGGGTTTAGGGTTTCTTCCAGTGGTTGCTTGCGTGAGACTTGCTTCGGGGGTCTATAGAAGCTATATTGGAAGACAGACTCATGGAGTAGTTGGAGTCGCCTCACTGTGCCGGGAAAGGCCCTGCAAATGTACTGCGAAGTGTTGCTGGAAAACAGTAGGATCAGGCAATCCACAAACGCAGCGTCCAGTTCTCGTTAAACCTGGGCATTGAGCAGTTAAGCCTAACACACCTTTTTATTCTTTGTACCTTGTCTCCTGACACCATCCCAGATGTTTCCACTCGGGATATGCTTCCAACCCCTAAACCCTAACCCTTTTTTTGACCCCGCGTGCTCTGGCGGGTCCGTGGCTGCCGAACAGCCCTTCTGTGCGTCCGCTGATTTGCAACAGGTGCCCAAACCCTAAACCCTAAACCCTCGAGACTTCAGGCAGCCCCCGAACCAATCCAAGGCCTGCAGAAGAGGCGAACCCACTGGCCTCAGATACTTCACGCACTTCATGGCAACTTGTTGGTGCTTTCGCGCCTGAGCCTAAACAGCCTAAACCCCTTCCTCCTCCGAGAGGCCGGATCATGGGAGATGGTGTTGGCGTTCGGCCCCAACCTTGCATGGCGGCTTTCTTCGTTTTTCGGCTTGGTCGTGGTCTCCACCTTGTCTTACTGTCCATGCCAGCCATCCCTAATACATCTCGGCCATCAACCTAAACCCCCCCCCCTCCCCACATCCACTGCACACCTGGTCCCTTAGGCTTTGACCGTGGCCTCCAGGCCCCACAGCCGGCGAAACCACTGGAGTTGCCTCAAAGCCGAAGCTACGCATCACCTCCCCTGACTACTCTTTCTACTACTCACTCCCAGACCAACGGCCATAGGAAACCAACACCAGACTTCAGAAAGTTGGCTCCAGTTGCTTGACAAGTACGGATCGCCAAGCAGACAGAAACACACGAGGTGCTCCGAAACGTGAGTATGAGTAAGTGTGTGTGTGTGTGTGCAGAGGTCCAGCAGCCAAGATCGCAGATCATGGGCTCATCATAACTCCTGTGCTGCCCTACACCCGATTTAAAGCCTAAACCCTATGCCAATTGGCAATTATTCTGTAGGTTAGTTTCCAAGTGGATGCTTCTAAACCCTATTATTAATGCAACCCCTAACTCCCTGCCTTTGGCGATGCCCACGCACGGTGTCGCGATCGCCCGGATGTGGAAGGACCTGGGGACTGCAATGAGCCAAGGCCTACCAGAATCCCAAGCTACGCATGAGCCCGGCCCGAGGGTTTATGGAGTATATATATATATATATACACACATATATATAGGGTTCATACCGGGTTTCGTAGGGTTTTAAGAGTTTATAGGGTTTATAGGGTTTATCGGGTTTTATGGGGGTTAAAGAGTTATGGGGTTTAGGGCTGCAGGTATGCACCAGATACGCCGCTGACAAGTCAACGCAACAAACGCCTCAGGAAACTACACCATTAGGCCAGCCAAACCGTACAGGCTTCGAGGCTACGTTTCTACAGCACTGGAACTGTTGAGGACTTTGGACTGCCGCTTGGTGAAGGGTAAGAAATAGGGCAAATAGGTTTTCGGGGTCTAGTTTTCGGAAAATGGTTTAGTTTGGAGATCGAGAGCTGCTACATCAAGGGCCTGCTTGAAGCAATGACACCTCAAGCCCCGAATCAAAGCACCCAACCTGCATCCCCTCCCCACCCCCCCCCCCCCTGGAGGCCCCCAACAAAGACCAATCACACACACACACACAGACTCACAGACACACACCCTAAACCTTAAACCCTGAACCTGATCATGAACCTGATCCCAGGAGGTTTCGGTGCAACTGGGGCCCCCTGGCTGGAGCCCATACCTGGGGAGTCGGAGGACTTTCGGCGTCCCATGGGGACGTACCTGAGCTTCGGCCCATTGCTGGCACTGGGCATCCGGTGGAACCCCTAAACCCTAGACCCTAAACCGCAAACACGAAAACCCCGAACCCTTTTTGCAGGCCTCTGCTGATCGCAGGGCACTTGCCAAGCTCAAACCAAGACACTCCTGGCCCCTAACCACCAGAAACCCACTTCAATAACTGCCCCTATACTATATACTGTATTTAATTGTATAAACATCCCATTATGATTTATGTAAATGCATCCACAAACCGGGCAAACCGAGTCGACTTGTCTGACTTCCCAACCTCCCCTACTACCACACTGTTCAAGTCCCTTCCGACTCCCCCCCCCCCCCCCCCTGCGCCCCCCCCGCGCCCCCCCCGCCGCCCCCCGCCCCCAACTTCTGCCAAACCCAAAACAAGTGTTGGCTGTAGAGTGTACGGTCGAGGGTTCAGGTTTCGGGGGCTTCAAGCTTTTTTATTGTTTCTGCTGATGCTGTGGACCTGAGCTTCCTCCTAAAACTTTCTTGGGAGGTTCATCCAGGTCCCCCCATTTTGCATTACTCCAGTCAGTTGCGAACTTCAAGGGTTTAATTAATCAGTTCACACTCTTGAAACCCTCAGTGTTGTCCTGCACTCAGCCCTGGTGCCTGAACCCAAAACCCACTTCGCGGCACTTGCATCCCACCATCGCCGCCCAAGAGGCCCTGTAGAGGCCCTGTAGAGGCCCTGTAGAGGCCCTGTAGAGGCCCTGTAGAGGCCCTGTAGAGGCCCTGTAGAGGCCCTGATAGGCCCTGATAGGCCCTATAAACCTTATAGTCACAGTCACAGCCAGCTCCACCCCACGTACTGGGCCACCTGCCCAGCAGCCCGATGTACCTCAATCCCGATATACAGAACCAATTTTACACTAAAGCCTTGAGGCCAGGCGACTCCCTCGCCTGCGGGTTGAACTCAACAGCCTGCGATATAAGGTTCTTATTGTTTGTTGAATTCCGCCGCTGGGCTTAGGGTAGACGTTCTTTTTGCCACGCTGCCAAGCAGAACAGAGTTTAATGAAACCCTAAGCCCTAAAACGTTTAGGCATAAAAGGATTAGGGTTTCAGGATTTTGGGGCTTGGGGTACGGGATGGTTTGGGGTTTGCAGGGCTTGCAAGAGCAACCATCGCCCCAAAATTGCCAAACGTCGTGGTCCCGAAAATCAGGTTCAGGTGGGGATACATGTGTTGACCCGAAACCCTTGAATCGTGCACCTAACTGTCTGCACATGATGTTCCTGAAGCCCATATCGCCTTGCCTTTCTCAGGCCAACGCATAGACCACAAACACCCAACAAACTTGCAGCACACCTGCACCTTCGCCAGCGAATTGTCGCGAAACCTACGCCTCCCTGCAAGGTTAAGTGCTACACCCCAAAAGCCCTTGAATCCTAAATCCTGGAATCCCACAACACTCCGCTGCCTGCGGGTTGAAGGACCAGGACGCAGCACTCGGACCTGCAAGAGGGTGGGGACTGGGGGGGGAGAGCCCGAACAGGTTGGGAAGGCTTTGTGGTACAGCTTTCAGCTGTGCGGCTTCGAGGGCTCAGAGCCCTGCCTATTACTAAGCTGGAGTACCTTTAAATAATTTCCTAACCCTGAACGCTAAACCTACACCCTAAACCCGTTTGTCCCCCTGCTCTCACCTAGCAGCAGGTCCCAGACTTGCGCAAAGAGCCCTTTTGGAGGAACGACCCCTTTCAATCTCCAGTTTCCATCGTGCGAGCTCCGGGTTGCACAAACTCTGAAAAAAGTGAATGCTTCTTTGGTTCAATGGGATGTACAAAGTGTAATAATGAACCCAAACGCTTTAAAAAGCGTTGAAGAGGAAGCAAAGGGTATGAAATATGTGCGGGGTACAAGTCCTGTCAAAACTTCGGCTGATACCGTGCATCGAAGGATTTCCTGCCCAAGCCTCCCATGCAGCCCATCTCTGTCATGTCTACGGAGACCCACTGTCCGTAGTCGTAGTCGCCGCCACCTGGACAACTGACAGCATCCACTTCCCGAGGAGCTGTCTACAAAAGCCACGAAATTTCTTGGAGGTCAACAAATCCTCACTACACAAGAAGGAGAATCGGACGAAGAGAAACTGGCAGGTGCTGTATTTCTTTGCTTCCTCGCCGACGAACCCACTCCCAAGTGTTTGTTGGGAAGTACTTCGGGGACACATCATGGTGTAGGGTTGTCATGCTGCATTGCAGATCATCCTGTCAGTGAACAGCCTGTCGGAGGTGCTGCACGCCGAAAGATAGTTTACACTTTGCCGCACAAGGAAGCTGCCGCAAATGCACAGCCGCATGGCCTTGCACGCCCCATTCATTCCATGCTGGTGGCGCGTCGAAGTACACTGGGCCGTCCGGCACAGGACGTTCCCAGTTGCTGACCTGGGGAGAAAAGATTAAAATAAAATAACAATCTACTGAAAGGTTCACACAGGAGCCAACAGTGCTACTGGAGCTTCCCAAGACTTTGTGCAACATGGCAGCACTTCTCTGGTCCGTTAGTGTCAACAAAGGTGCCATCCCCCAAACAATCTCCCCCCTTCACACCCTCAACACTCCTTCTTCAGTGCACGCCTGGACGTGCTCCCAAACCCTAAGCCCTAAACCCTAAGCCCTAAGCCCTAAACCCTAAACCCTTGCTCCAGCGGAAGGTGCCCTCCCATCTTCCGCAGCCCACGTGAGCGACTCCATGTCGCTCTCCTCTTCTACGAGGGAGCCGTTTCCTCATCTTGAGCGCTGGGCTTTGGAGCTTTTTAGGGCTTAGGGTTTAGGGTTTAGGGTTTGGGGGGTTCACCAGTCACCTTAGGGTTCCAAGTACATGAAGAATAACTACATTGGGGTCTAACGTCTGTAAAATAACCCCTGCTTTGGGCTATTTGGAGCCTTGGGGTGACTGTAGCGTGGAAATGGGACTTGGGGTGTGGTTAGACATGTCGTCATCGGTGAGCTTTATACTGTCAGACTCTTGACTTACCTCTACCTGCTGAGCGATCGTCTCTCGAAAATGTACATGGAAAAGACAAACCCCCCCCACCAACGCCCCGAAGCCCTAAATCTGAACCCTTAAGTGCATGGGACGAGTGGTCTACGAACATGTGTATGTATAAGAAAGGTTATAAGTAGGGTAATTCGGGTAATAACCTTATTTCGGGTACATATAACCCTACTTCTAAGTACCCATGAACCGCCAAGGAAGCTTATAGCCGGAGGCTCCACATCGCCACTGCTGCCATCGATCCAGGGATATTGTGAATCGCTTCTCCTTATCTCAAGGGCTGCATTCACACATCCCTGATAAGACCTGCTGACCTTAGCCCTAAGACTCTAAATAATTGCGCTGCAGACTTTATAAACCCCACAAAGCCCAACCGGCCTACGCCCTGGGCCGCTGAGCCCCCTGCTGGCACTCCTAGCTTCTGCAGGCTTGCCGTGAAGGCCATGCGCGGCTGGCCTGGGCTGAGCATTCCAAGAACTCCGATGGACCAAGGCTGTAAGGCCGCCCAAAATCGGGGACTGTGGGGCTGAAAGTCTGCGAAGCCCTGGCCCTTCTTGGGTGCAAGAACATTATGGGCATCCCCAAAAAGCGTGAGTTTAAGCAAAACCTGCCATATGCAGGTGATGCCGAAGTTGTGTAAAGGCTTCATGCTTCTCTGGGAACTCAAATCAACAGCCGTCCGACAGGAGAAGGCGCACGCCGAGTATGGAGTGCGGAGATGTGCGGAGTATGGAGTACGGAGTCTGGCGTACCGCTGTTGGCCACCCTAAATCATATCCACCCTCGTTTTGAAACCTACAGAAAATTCCGGGAAAGGGTCAGACTGTCAGACTTAAATAAAGCGCGCAGTGGCAAGAACTCATAATAACTCCATGAATGCCTCAGGGCGGCGGCCGTTCTGGCGTCGCCCGCGTCGGCCAACAAATTTCTCGGACGCAGGAGTGACCACCTGCAAGTGCTATCTCGGAATGCCCCAAGTTTGGGCGGCTGTGGGCTGCTGATGTACTGTTCAGCGGATACTTCCCGATTGTCTCAACGCGTAGAGTGATTGTTGTGACAGGGGCGTTCATGCGGATGAGTAAGATATACTGTCACGTGGTAGAGTTGTGCAGAAGTATACAGGGAGCTTGTTGCGCTGCATCGAGAAATGACGTGCGAATAGGCTTGCTGTCTGGGTCTATGTAACACAGACCGACAGAGGAAAACACACACAAGAAACTTGCACACTGACAGACACAAGACTGAGACAAATGCCGAACATACATCAGCAAGTGAAGAATGAGCTGATACAAGCTGGTGGCATGTGCCTAAACCCTAAACCCTAAACCCTAAACCCTAAACCCTAAACCCTAAACCCTAAACCCTAAACCCTAAACCCTAAACCCTAAACCCTAAACCTGGCAAGGAGCTATCCGATGCCCGAGGTTGTCGAGCCACTCGCCAAGGAAGCACCTGAGGAGTCGCAAGCCCCTGCAACCCCCCTAAACCCTTTTGAACGGAGAATCCTTAACCCCCCTAAACCCTAAACCCTAAACCCTAAACCCAAGAGTCGACAACCCGTTTGGGACCAGCTCTGGCCAAGTCTCTGTGGGTCGAAGCCCTCCTTCTCCTCGCCTTGAAAGGTAGGTGGTCAGGGTCTGAACCCTTCATGCACTCAGCCCTCAACCCTTAAACCCTAAACCCTAAACCCTAAACGCTAAACCCCAAGCCGGCCCAAACCCCTCTAAAGCTTCAGATGGGTTTAGGGCAGCAGAAGCGTCTTAGTGTGCCTTGGGCCTGTGGAATGTCGACAGTCTACGGAACTTTTGGGGCTGACTGGACTTAAGGTTTAGGGTTTCGGGTTTAGGGTTTGGAGTTTAGGGTTTAGGGGTCGCTGAGTGTGAGGGGGTGGGAAGGCTGAAACATGCTGAAACTCTTGCGAGCCCTGGGGGTGGGCCCCCCTAATTTCGGAAGCCCCCAAATGGGAGCATCCTCCCGCGACCCCGCAAGGGCTCTACGTACTTAGGTAGAAGGTCGGCAAGGCTCGAAGGTCGGATTGGCTCTGGGGATTCTTTGCTTATAGACTCATAGGGTTCCCCCCGGACTTGCTTTGCCTTGATTTGGGGTAGTTCTTGGCTTCTTTGTGTGCTATCAGCTCTGCAACCCCAAACATCGCATTTCGGGTGTCCCGGGCGTGTTTGGCTCCAAGTTCCAAGGTCCAGAATGTTGGGCTGAGAGCTGAAGGTTAAGCTAGACTACCGAGCATTCCTTGTACTAACAGTTCTTAATAGGGATTATAGTACCCCTATTATAATCCCTATTTAGGAGCTGTTAGTATAAGGGGAAACATCCCAAGTCCTAGGAGCCTAGGAAACCCTGAGCTTGAAGCCCGACACCCCAACTAGGGACCCGACTGGCTGGCGCCGGAGCTGGGGGACAGTCGTCCGAGAGCTCCGTCTGTGGAGATTTGGGTCTTGGGGTTTAGGGTTTCGGGTTTAGGGTAACGGCCTTTAGGGCGACGGGCTTAGGGGTTGTGGCTCAGTGCTTGTATGGATTACGAGGACTTATAGGCAGGTATTTTGCAATGTAGGTAGCTTTAGACAGCAACCGACGAAAAGTAGGTTTGGGGCTCTTGAAGGCAGGGCCGGGCTTAGCAGGCCTGGACTCTCACGCTGGCGCAGGCAGGGGCGAGGCTTCGGGCACGAGTTCGACCAAGGGTCTTTTGGTTAAGGGTTTAGGGTTTAGGGTAACTGAACTCTCGAACAGCATGCTTTCTGCTTCCTCAGCAACCACCACAACAGCTGCGCAACTTTACCAACCCCGATGTGGCAAGACCCCTTCCAGGCATCACAACATCCATGCAAAATGCGTCCGCAAAGGTTAAACTACGTTGTGCTGCGCAGAAGCCAGGTCGGGGCATGTAGGGCGGAGGGCTTTGGGCCTTAGGCTCTAACCAACCATTCAAAGCCTTCTAGTGAGAAGCTGGACCCTCCTGACAAACCCAACTAGGTTTCGAAACATGTTGAACGTCAAAGTCACCCTGGATCACCTTACACCTTATGCAGCCGGCTTAGAACTAGAAATTACACCGATTCGAGGTCCATAGTCCTCTCAGAACTATACTGGGCTCAGTCTGAGTGCTCCAGGACTCAACGGCCCAAAAGTTCCCTCGGTCGCCGCGCCCGTTTTCGGAGCTGGTTACCGCATGACTTGCAAGCAGCCCTCAAGTAGAACTTGAAGGCCGATCCCTTCTTTCTGGCCCATCATCTCAAGGCATCATTCTTCAACCATACCGGGTGTGCGAGCGGAGGGATCTAGAGGGAAATTAAGGCCTAAGCCGCCAAGACTTTTGACCGGCCACAACCTCCCGGATGACTTCTTAAAAATCTCAACCTACCTTCAGTTTGGGGAGATATATGGCGTACGATTCGCCTGCAACCCTAATCCCTAAACAACATCCCAATCGGCCCCGCGCCTGCTCGGCCCAAGACTGCCGAACAGGCTTCCAAACGCCGTCAAGGCTCCAGTTGTCGGCGCCTGCTGCTTAGCACTGGGAGCGCGGCTAAGGGGGTCATGTTCTTTAGTTTCTTGTCGCCTACCCAGGTCTTCTTGCGAGTTAACCTTTGCTTTGAGCTGTAGAGAGATCCATCGTAGAGAACAATATGAAAAAAACACTATCTTCATATACGCACGGCAGCCTCCCTCCGCGGGAGCAGGCTTGACGGCCATGTTGGGTGACCTGGGTCGGACTTGAGACTTCAAAAGACAGAGATTCTCTTGGCTTTGGATTTCAAGGGGTTTAGGGTTGGGATGTTCACACTTACACTAACAGTCCTTAATGGGGAATATAGTGCCCCCTCCTATCATTCCTATGAAGGACTGTTTGTATCAGGGGGAACATCCCAAGGTTTAAGGTTTAGGATTTGATGTGCTTCAAAATGAACAGGGGTGCTAACGGCTCGGATGCCAACGCACAAGGGAACCAGAAGCTCTGATTTTCGCGGTACGTACAATGGTTGAGTCTTTCCCCCCCTCTGTGGTTCGTGGTGGGAGATACCATGGTCAGAGGGGGGGGGGGGGGGGGGGAGGTAATATGAGGGAACGCAATGCCCAACAAAAGGGAACATCGCACATCCTCGTGTTCAATGGCTCACCATGCTGCCACATGACCCGTAGCCGAACCTCCTAGGTCCAAAGCTTACCCTGTTGGTGGCATGCGAGTCTATCAACCCAAAGTTCTACATCACCCTAAACACTCAAAGTCTCCAAACCGATCCAATCCTCCAAGCCCTCAATCCTAAGGACCTAAGTTCTCTGAAGTATTGGTCTTGAAGTTGGCGTTGCTATGAGGCCCCTTATTTCTCAGAACTCGTACCCAATTCTTTCTCTTTAAGAACAGGGACCCGGCCGAAACACTGCTGGAAGATTCACGGGTATGCAGTACAAGTTCGGTTAGAAGAACAAAACAAGGTGGCAACCTGTGAATATTTCATCACCCTACCCACTCATCACCACCCTAAACTCTGAACCGCAAGCCTTCATTACGCTACCCTAAACCCTAAACCCTAACCCCTAAACCCTAACCCCTAAACCCCAAACCCTAAACCCCAAACCCATCTAAAGTTTCAAACCTAAGCCCTAAACCCTAACCTCTGTTGGCAAGGCCAGGGACACGGAGCTTTGGTTTGATCGGCCCTTGTTGCTGCCTTGGGCGGGGGGGGGGGGGGGGGGGTGCTTTCTCCAGCTGAGGATGCAAGAAACTCAGGGGTTAAAGGTTTAAGGGTTAAGAGTTTAGGGTTTTCAGCAAGTTTGGGAGCTCAAGATTTAGGTTTTTGGGGCGTGGGGTACATTTTCGGGCTCCCAGCAGCCGAGCCAGGGAAGCAGGTTAAATGGGGAACAAACCCTAAACCCTGAACCTCATCCCAGATTACGCAAAACAAAAACACTCAACCCGGCACACCAACCATAGCCAACCAAGCGCGACACGTGGAGTTTAGAGCTTGGGGCAAATCGTGGGCCTGTGCCCTCTGAGTCGACTGTAACATTCTTTGACTGAGGAAAACAAAAGAGGCAAAGACACCAGAAACGAGGCCCCGGAGTAACCTAGGAACAAAAAGGGTACCCTTTTTGGTTTAAATGGGATTATAAGGGAACCTACACTCTGAAAAAGGAAAAAGGGCCCACTCTGGGTCCTAGGAAACGAGGCCCTCTGGCTGCCACTCCGTGAGCCAGGACACCAACCTCCACGAGGTGGAAGGAACCTCCGGCACTTGATTCGAGAAGTCAGGGCCCTGAACCCCTGCCTGCACGCTAGAGGAAGCCTCTCTAGTTTCTGCAGCAAGGGCCCTTTTCTTCCCCTATCCTCTAAGAAGCCCCTTAAGTTAACCCGACTGTTGCCGCCCCTGCCAGCCCATGAACCCTAAACCCTAAACCCTAAACCCAAAACCTATAAACCTATAACCCTAAACCCTAAACCCTAAACCCTATAACCCTAAACCCTAAACCCTAAATGGGCCTGAGCCTGCGCGGCTGCGGCTCGCGGGCCCCAAGCCTGGAGAAGCCGCAAGCCCGGGTGAGGCCGATCTGCCTGTCGTCGGAAGGTGATTGGGAAGGTCCCCCCTTGTACTCTCAATCCTTGATAGGGTTTAGGGTTTAGGGTTTGGGGTTTAGGATTTAGGGTTTGGGGTTTAGGGTTCCCTATTGAGGACTGAGTATAAGGGGGAAGATCCCAAGAAGGTGACTTCATGGTGTTTTTGTTTGCCTTTGCTTTGTTTCGATGCAGGGGTTCAGGGATTCAGGGATTAGGGAGCGGGATCTGTGAGGGTTTCTTTTGTTGAGGGTGAGATGGTGTAAGGATTTTTCGAGCCTCAGGCACGGAGCATGATCGTTTCGGAATGCGGCTGTCTTCTCATGCCAAGATGGGCGCACGATGCTTTTGGGTGGTGACGAGATGAAAGACACGACGAACATGTTCCACGCGTCGAAGTTCCGAATTGTCCAGCAGAGGCGCTTGCCGTGCCAAATTATACTAATATCATTCTCTCTCTATATATATATATAGATATAGATATAAACAGATATACATACATACGTACATACATACATACATACATACAATGTTATTCTAATACAACAGTATAATATGAGATAGCCGGTATAACATAATAGTAACGGGCCTGTATCTGGTGAGTCCATGCTGGCGGCAGGGCGCGGCTGTGAAACCGGTCAAGGTGTGTGGGCCGACAGCCACAAGAAACCTGGAGAGTCTTCTGTGTACTGAGAAAGATCAGCCCTAGCATGATGAACAAAAAACCCTAAACCTCAAACCCTAAACCCTAAACCCTAGGATGCCGCACGGGCCTGAAAAGATTGAAGCTTCAGTCGTGTGCTGTGGTGCGAGATGCGGATCGGCTGCGCTGCAATAAGATGACGCGTTTGGGCCAATGCTGCTGCATGATGGCCGGTCTGCACATCCTTCCGAGTTCCTAAGGTAAGCCCAGGGTTTAGGGTTTAGGGTTTAGGGTTTAGGGTTATCCACGCAAGCCAAGTCCAAGAAGAAAAACGTTCTCAGAACAGCTGTCACCCATCTACTAACATATAAAAGGGCTCCTTTCACAAACCCTCAGGGACTTGATTTCAAACTAGCCAGTCAGTGGTCAGGTCTTGGTTGGGTCCTCGGGTCCGGCTCCCGTGCCCGCACTTTGCTGCAAGCAAAGAAACATATGTGCACTGTGCCCTCTATGCCCTTTGCAGTCCCTCTACTACATTCGTACATATTCATAAAAACCCATTTTCGGAGTCATAGCAAGCGCTTAAAGCACAAAAGAGTGACCCATCATGTATATACATATATATATATGTACATATGTATATACGTATGTATAACGATGTGAATACGAAACTGGCAATAGAGACCAGATGCATCTCGAAACCCTCGACGCCATCAATATTTTTTAGATCTTCTCAAGGTGATCACTATCAGGGACTTTCGGTGTCCTGTTCAAGATCACTAAAACCGACACGCCATAAATGCCAGACTTAACTTAAACGCTACACCCCAAACCCTGCATAGCCCCAAACCTTAAACATGGGTTTAGGGTTTAGGGTTTAATTAGGGTTTTAGGGCTTCGCGGTGAACTATAAACCCTAAACAATTTACAGCCCTGAGGCTTCCCAGGTCCAACTCTGAGTCTGTGGGTTCTCACGCGATTGCATCGGGCAAAGGTCGACCGCGCTTCTCCGCCTCCGCAAGCCTGAGCCACATGGTTTAGGGATTAGGGTTTAGGGTTTTAGGGTTTTTAGGGTTTTAGGGTTTTAGGGGTTTAGGGGTTTAGGGGTTTAGGGGTTTTAGGGTTTTAGGGTTTTAGGGTTTTAGGGTTTTTTGCCACCCGCCTAGCCATGCTCCACAGGCCAACTCGATACAACCCTCGGTTTAGGGTTGGCAGGAGTTGTTTTTGCAAAGGTTCGACGCTAAGACTATACCTCTTCAGAGATGGCAATCTAAGCAGCCTCATCAGGCAGAGTATACTGCTCCATGGTTTCGGCCCCTCAACATGAGACCCGTTTGACCGAGAAAAAGCCTTCAACCAGCCCCCCCACCCCCCCCTACCCTAAACCCACAACCCTAAACCCTTTTTTTTCCACCCTAAACACTAAACCCTAAACCCTACAACCCACAAACCCTCACCAACCCCTCAACTACGTGCTTCCCCACGGGGGAGCCTCGAGGCCGCTTCGGCCCAGCAGCGTGCTCGGCCCAGCTTCGCCAAGGCCTGGGACACGGTTTAGGGTTTAGGGTTTAGGGTTTCGGGTTAGGGTTTAGGGTTTAGGGTTTCGGGTTTAGGGTTTAGGGTTTAGGTCGGCCCTTTGTTTTCTGCATGTGTGCATTCATGTGTGCATGCTGCTATGCAATTCATAAAGCAACACATATGTCTGCAATTGTACATAATAGAGAGAGAGAGAAAGTTTTAATAAGTATGCATCTTTCATTGTATCTATATACATACATAAAGAGAAAAAGAAAGAGAAAAAACAGAGAGTAGGCTTTCGGCCAGGGCGGCCCGTTGGCAATGCGTGTTGGGATTTTTTGGGGTTGAGGGACGTTTGTGGCCTTTAGCGTTACAGAGTTGAGCGTTCATGCGGGGTGCAAGTCACAAGACTTTCGGGTGGAGGGGTCGAGATAGTTGAATTTGGGCACTGGGTTTGGGCTATGAGGTGCAGCTGCATAACTAAGGTTCCACGTCTCATCGCAAAGGATTCGGGCTCCTGTGCAGGGTCGGAGCTGTCTGGCTTGGTATGATAGCGAAACATGCGAAACACTATAAGGCAACTACACACAGCACAACATGGCACAACGACTAAAAGGCCGAAACAAACAGATGCTCGAGTTGCTCAACGCTAAGGTTTATCAAAATGCTTCCCCAGACCCACCACGCCGATGAACACACTGAGTGGCCGGCGGACGTGAGCTGTCGATTGCTCCATCCCTGGCGTCAGCTGTCTCATGGCGCTGCTGGGCGATGAGGTAGGACGAGAGATGCATGTGGGGCAGTCCTCCAACTTATGGTGGCTATACTACCTCCGCATTGCAAGGATTTCCAAAAGGGAATCGTAATTAACTTGGAAAGACCTCCATGCTGAAGCAGGTTGAGGTTGTAGGTCTTCGGTGCCTCACCCCGAGTCCTGACACTCGGGCAGGGTCTCCCACGCCCCCCTAAACCCCGTTCCAAAATAAAAAACCAAGACTGCCCAACGTCTGAGGTTGGCATAGAAGGCTCTGCGGCAGCTTGGCAAGTCTCTGCCTCCGCGTTCTCTGAGCTTCGGGACGTGAAGACTCTGCCTGCAGCATAAAATATCCAAACAGGGGGATACCTTTTGGCAAGGTGTGGATTATATTTGTGAATTTTGGCAGTTATCAGAATGGTTCCAAGATGTTCCAAGCTTTCGGGCTGCACCTCTGCATATCTTACATATCTCTCTGAGTCTCTGGTGCACAAACAGGGTTCCTCAATAGCTGCACCGGGCTTTCGCCGAGACTTCCGAGTTCACTTTTGCATGTTTCGCTGCACGAAGTCTAAGCCCCCCCCCTCCCCCCCTCACTCCTCCCTCGCAAACCTACCAAGGACCCAGGACCCCGGCAACCACGAAGGGAGGAGGCGGTATGTGACCTAAGGCGTCGGGGAAGGTGTAGGAGAGGTTAGCTTTTTGCACTCGGTGACGTTTCAGAAACTGTTCGGGTTGCCTATATGTGCAAGTGACTTTCGGACGTGCAGGTGTTTGGGCATACCGCAGAAAGCATGTAGGAGGCTCGTACTGACCGGACGGCTTCACGACAGGGCACTGCTGATGGAGGGATGATTTCGCAGCTTTTGGCATGCTCAGAAAAGGACAAATGGCAAGCCCGAGACAAGCCGCCACATCTAACCAAATAGAGTTTACGAAGAGTACTCGCTACGTGAAGTATAGCACAAGCATAGTGTGCTCTGCCTCCCCGCCCCCCACCCCACAGCCCGTTGCCCAACTAGTGTCGAGTACGACAAGTCTGTGGGCATGAAGCCCACCCGGCTTGGCTTCATTACGACCTTGATAGGGTTTCTGCTCTGCTGCCCGGGGTTTGGGGTTTAGGTTTGCAGGGTTTAGGGCAGCGGTTAGGGGTTGGGGGTTGAAACTTCCGAAAGTGTCATGTTGTCAAAGGGCAGCGACTGCCGCCAAATATCCAGCACTCATTTAGAACCCTGAACCCTGAACCTCAAACCCAGAACCCCTAAACCCTAACCCTGAACCCAAAACCTTAACCATAACCTGACTCACAAGAGGTGCTGGGGTCGCCACCTGACCCAGCGCCGCACATGCGGCCCAAGACCCATAATCCATTTGTGACATGCGATGGGGTTTAGAGTGCATTGGCTTAGGGGCTTAGGGTTAAACATGTTTGGGGCTGATTGGGGTTTAGGGTTTACTTGTTTCAGGGTTCGGGTCCTTCAAAGCTTCGGGAAACCGCGTCCTAAGAGTCCTTCCAGGATATGGAGTGAAGAGGGATGTGGTGACTCGAAGTTGTCGGAATCAAACCCATTGTGTGAGCACTCTGTTTGCATCAGCTTGCATGCGATGCGCTTGGGAGCTTTCGTGCTGACAGGAAGTGTGCCGCGGTCGGCGGAAAGCCCATGAGAGCAACACCGGCACTGAATTCAGAAGCACGAGTATGTCCCTGAGCCACCTGGCCAAAAAAAGGTACTTTTGTTACTTCTGGAGCTTCATCCTAAACCCTCCCTTAGCCACCCAATAGCCTAACTTGCCGAGGGCTTCGCGGCTTCGTTGAGCCATCAGTCTGGTATAGGGTTTTGAGGCTTCGGGTTTAGGGTTCGGGGTTGCGTCTTCGAAGCCCAGGTTGCCCTCTCTATCTGGGCCCGCATCGATGCAAAATCCAACCCGAATCCCTTTTTTAACCCCTGGGCTGAGGCCGGGACGCGCGTACAACCCGAATCCCTAAACCCTAAACCCTAAACAGGCCGAGCGCACGGTGTCTAAAGGGCTTGGGGGTTATAGGGGTCCAGTCTTGGGGGTGGAGGGCAGAGGACTGGGCCTGCTTCGGGCACCCTCACCCAGATGAAATACACAGTCATGGAGACCGCAAATAGTAAAAGAGCCCCATACTGGTACTTTTGGCAAACTAAGCCCTAAACCCTTTATACACCCTAAACCCTGCAATCTCTCGTTGCATGTATAGATCTATATATATATATATATGTATATGTGTGTGTCTATATATATATATTTATTTATTTATTTATTTACTAATTTATCATTTGTCCATTCATTTATTTGTCTATGTGATTACAAGGTTCCTCGCTCTAATAGATAGAACCTGCCCCTGCCATCCCTCGCCATCTTTTGACAAGCAGGACTGCAGCGACATGGTGCTCCTCACCTGCAGCCACCATGCAGGATGTAGTTTCATGAAAGGATGCCAGCGCGTTCTCAAGTTTAGGGTTCAGGGTTTAGGGTTTAGGGTAGTTTCATGGAGGGATGCTTTCGTCATCAAGTTTCGGGTTCAGGGCACCTTGAGGTTTAGGGCACCTGGCTCGAGGCTTAGGGCACCTTGAGCTTCAGAGGGTCTACAGGGCCCTGAGGGTTTAGGGTTTAGGGCTTAGGGCTTAGGGTTTAGGATTTAGGGCAAAAGCCACACAAGAGACACA